ACCCCCCCCCCACACACACACACACACAAACACACACGCACACACACACAAGCATTAAGGTAGACAGACACACTCGTGTGAACACACTTAATAATACTTATCATATCTCAGCACTCCCACCTTTACAAAAGGTAACCCAGTCTCTCTAGCTGTCAAAAGAGCAATTACAGAATCGTCATTTATAATTCTGTTACCTCGGCCTACTGCCTAGAGCATTCAGTACCTTACCTGATCTAGTACGCACCTCCAAGATCTCCACTCACCGAGGGATCCCAGTGACATATAGGTCACCGTGATGTCATTCGCAAGGACACTTCAAACATATTTTAAGATAGGGAAAAGGGGTTAAATCAAATTACTAAACCCGAGTATTGCTGAATATCGTCAGTGAGCAGCAGATACCTCCAAGAACATTAAACAAACAATAAAATACTCTCAAGTAAAACTTTTATGACTTTATCTCCCCTCTTCAACCCTCCCCGCTTCTTTGCATTTAATTTTGTCGATTGAAGTCTATGTCATGGACTCTGACATCCTCCTCCTCCTCCCCCACCCTTCGCCCTCTCCACCCAAGCGTGTTCTATACCATAACATGCAATTACTGAAATACACAAGCACCTAGACACAAGACATCACACATGTGCATACTTCCCTGTCGTTGATCTGTGCTCCTCCTTTTCAGTTTGTTTTGCCTGTCGGACCGAATAGAGGTTATTTGTACTCAATGCGTAATGTTAATACCACCATGGATCAATATTGATATGGCACTGCTTCTGCTGCCTCTTCTGCTGATGCTGTTACTGCTAATGTTTGTAAATGCCAAGTTAGGGATAGAACCAAAGAGAAAGTACAATGTATAAAACCTCTTAGGATTGAACACATTATTCAAGTGAGTGCTATGTGACAGTCACTCACACTCGTAGAACGCTATATAAACACATGCGCAAACGACTATTAAAAGAATTCTCTATTTAATTGCCTCTCATAATGAGCTGGTCTCCACGTAGGTTAAAAATTAATGTTAAATCTCAGTCTACCAGCTGCACGCAGGCACCTAGATGATGATGATGATGATTTTTTTGTTGTTGGTTTCTTTAATGGGCCTGGGGGACTCCACGAAGAAATCTACGAGCGAGAGCGAGGCTCTTTTTCGGCTCCATTGTCAATATGCTTAGCGGCACCTCCACTCGTCCAAATAACTCCATTCGAATTGCCATTGTTCCTGGACATTCAAACATGTTTAACATCCTCCTTTTCATGACCACATCTTCGGCAACCTGGGCTGAGCTCTTCATTTACAAAGTTCTTATACCATCTTAAGCTCCAATGGTGGTCCGACCGCAGTCTCGCTAGCTCAACATGGTCCCAGCGACTTGTGATATTTGTTCCCGTTTATAGGAGTACCCACAATACACATCTTCCAGGTGCTGGTACTTTGCTTTGCAGGGTGGGTCTCTGATTTCCCTCTTGATTATTGGCAAGACTCCTCTGTATGTTGTTGGTCGTCTGTCTCCTTCAATTTCTCTGGCTTCATTAGCAGCTTGGTCTGCTGCCTCATTTCCTTTTATTCCAACATGGCTTGGAATCCAGTGGATTTTTATTGTGGCTGTGGCTTCACTGAACTTGCAGCACAAATCATATATGTCCGAGCTGTTGCCTAGCAGCCCCTTGCAGAGGGACTGACTGTCAGTCAAGATCAGCACATTGGTTCTACTGTAGCAATTGTCAGCAATCCATTGTGCAGCAGACATCATTGCCTGGCATTCCTCGTCATAAGATGATGTAAGGAATGCACCTTTAGTTGATCGGCTGCAGAGCTTCCCCATTAGTTGTGGCTGTCTTCGTTGAGAACGGTACTCCCCATCCGGAAGGGGACGGCTTGCCACTTTGAGTACCTGATGATGATGATGATGATGATGATGATGATGATGATGATGATGATGATGATG